AGAAATTAGAAATAAAAGATAATCTTAATATGTAGTTATTTTAAAAAAAGTGAAAAATAAACTTCTAATGCAAAAGGATATATAACAGGTGGCAGGTGGTATAGAAATGAAGAATTTTAAGGCAAATAGTAATAAGTATTTTAAAATGTAAACTTACATTATAACCAGTATCGAAACACTGATACAAATCGTTAAAACAAGGAAACACAATTTTGCCACTTGGTTTGTGCAATTCATAGGAAGTGATTCCCCATGTCGAGAGACGTTTTCGTTCTTGCAGTAATTGAAATTCTCTCGACCAAACACTAACATTTCCACCACCAATCGATGCTGCTACACTTGACATTGGTTGCTGCAATACTATGTTCCATTGAAGTCTGCGTGTTAGAATAAAATAAACATATTTATAATTAAGCATTAAACGATAATGGTGTTGGTGGAGCAAACCTTTTAATGCCACTGTTATTAAAATTGCCCATAAATCCACCACTACTGCCCATAAAACTACCGGACGTCATAGTAGGCGAAGAAGCTTTCGATGAGGGAGGAGAACCCATTCGTATGCTACCGCTATCGTTTGGACTATCAGGCGATGTTAGTTCATCAACGGTAGGTGATGCCATAGAAAGATTTATATCGGTATAGAGTAGAGTTGTTTCCCAGGCATTGGGTGGGGTACTAAGGAAATAACAGCGAACCCGACCATCGGACAGTGTACGAAACTGTATATTTGTTGGTACCATACTAGATAGATTGGACAATTGCTTTCGTATTTCATTTACAGTGGCCTTTATTTCAGTCCATGATTTCTTATTTGTTGGCGACACCTCTTTGCGATTATCCCCATCATCTTCGTCATCATCTTCCTCACAGTCCTCGTCTTCGTCATCTAGTTCTCGTGGTGGAGTTGTACTTGTCGGTGAACTCAGATGGTTGGAAATGGCAGAAGCGGCTGCCACAACAACCGCTGCTGCTTCTGCAGTCGTGGCAGATGCTGCAGCCGCCGCCGCAGTTATTGGTGATGTCAACGAGTTGAATGCCAAACCAATGGAAGAGTAGAAAGCATTAGCTGTATTACCTATGCTGGTCAAACTTGAAATTGAACCAACACTGGCAACTCCACCCGGTACTATTCCAGGCGCTGATCCCGCAACACCTATTGCACCCAGGCTGGAATTGCTGGAACTAGGAGTACTGGCAGCGCTTTGACTACGATCTCCTGAGACACGAGAAGTGAATCCATCCAATAGGTTGGCAAAAGAAGAGGTGCTGCGTACTTCTATTGGTGGCGTAGGTTCAGTATTCATTGAAAGTGTACCAGGACCTTGACCAATATTACCACCAATCGCACTGCTAGTGTTTACATTGACATTTTGTCCAACATTCATGGCAGGCGTTGAACTGCTAGTTGTCGTTGTGGCACCCGACTGTAAACGGTTTCGTTGCTGCGTCATGGTAGTGTCCATTATTTTAAAAATACTAGTATTTCCTTGAGTTCAAATGGTTTTTCTCTTAACAGGATCATGAAAAATACCTGTGTTACAAAACACACCCCACCAAAAGATTTTTCACTTGCTGATGTCCAACAAAAAATTTTTAGTTCTTTTCTAATTTAGATTTTTTTTTACACCCACAAAAATGCCAATTATTGTACGATGATGAGGGTGATACTGCACAGGGGTGTCCTAGCAGATTTTCTACTTCTCTTCTACTGTCTAATAATACTTCTTCCTGGTGAGATTCCTTCTTTGATTTCCAGCTTTCATATTGCAGACCCACTACTTTCTTGTTTCTTTGTTTTACGTTGATCTATTTTAACGTTTCTTTTACACCCGATAATACACAATTGAGTAAATAATTTTGGAGAAGAAAGAAAAAATCGAATGAAAATCAAATGTATTTTCTCGCTATTTGCAACAATTTTCACAGTTTTTTATTTTCTTTTTCTTATTTGCATGCAAAAGTTGTCTACTGTCTACTGCAATGATGATAATTTAGCGTTTTTCCTATCAACAAAAATTATTTTAAAATCACTTTTAAAGGCAGAAAAGTTTTCTAGGTAAGGAAAATTATTTCCAGATGAAAAGAAAAATTTTAATAAAACTTTCAAAAAACGTAAAAAAGCTTAACTTAATCTTTTAAGTAAAATTCTTGTACAAAATAATTGATTTTAAAACATATTTAGCGGGGTTTATTTATGAAAGTTGGCAGCATTAAATATTAAATACAGTACTTTCTTTTTACAGCAGCGTTGTATAATTTGGGCATTGTTTATCGTCGACGTCATAATAACCCAATACACATTTTGACGGAAAATCAATAGAAACCGATTTCCTATCTAAAGCCCAACAATAATAAAAATAATGAGGAAAATAAGAGTTTTTTCAATATTTATTATGTATTATATTTTCTTGTTATACACTGCATTAATATATTTGAGTGGACTGCAAATTATTTAAAATAAACAAAATAATGATTTGAGAAAAGCTTTAAAAATTAATATTGTTTGTAAATAGTGAGTTATAACAAGTTTTGAAAACGCATTCTCTTAATACGTATGATTGATCAATATTATCGTTATCGCATATAATGTATGTAACTATGAAATTAAATCATCCAAAGCTTTATTTTTATTATTTTCATTGCGTATTAACGCATCAGATATTTTGCCTTCTTCGAATCCCAAGTCCACAAGTTCACTAAGGGGTATTAAATGTTCAATAACCTGCAAAGAATCCATAATTAATGTACCAAAATAGATTTATTTAAATAAACGTTACCTTTTTATCATCAACTCCTACTAATTGAACAATTCTCGCTACACGTTTTAAAGGAAATCCCATTGCACTTATTTGCTCTACTAGTTGCCTAGCTTTACTATCCAGCTTACTTAATATCTCTTCCGTCTCAGTGTCTTTATCATTAATCAGTTTGATGCTTGGTGTTTCTTCAATTGCTAAAGACAAACATATCGCGGTATAAATACTCACTAAAAAAGGATTTTGATGTGTACATACCATTGTTTTGAGTAGATGCTTCCATATTACAATTTCTATATCTTCGAATTTCCGAGTTTCGCACTTCATCACGAAGTTCTTTTAAAATATCTGGTACACTTCTCGATTTGCTTACTTGGTCTTCGGTTAACGCCTGTATTCTGTTATGTTGCTGAGGATTATTTGAATTTTGGTTACAGTGATTATTGGCTTGGTAAGTGTAATAATTATTTGTTGCATTAGCTTGTCCATTATGCTGCTGTTGAGGCGATGCTGTAGTGTGAGGCAAGTTGGCATTATATTGCATTGTAGAGAAAGATATTGTGTGATGGTCCCTGAGCTCAGTTAACGCCCCCTGAGTAGAGTTAAGATCATAGTTAAATCTGGGTAAATTATTATTACGTTTTGGAATGTTTTCTACTGATTTTAGCGAATCATTATGCGGAAATTGCGTTCTCTGTTGCTGCTCAGGGTAACAGTTGGTATCAGAAGTTTCATTTGTATTTGTATCACTCGTTGTTAGTGTCGTATTATCACTAATTATTTCAACCGGAGCTGGAGATTTTATTTGGGTATTATGTAGAACTTGTGCTAACACATCCAAGTCATTAATAGTTTTCAATTCGATATTATCGAAGGGCGAGGAAGTGTCATCCTCGAAATCTTTGTAATTGAATGAATTCGATAGTTTATTACTCTCAAATGTGGACTTAATTAAAGGAGTTAGAGTACTATTAGAATTACCAGAGCTGCTATTATAGGACAATACTGTCGGTTGCAATATATTATGGAAGCTATTTACCGTTTCCGTTACACAAATCTTCGGTGCCATTTCTTTGGACTCTAGACTTTCTTTACCATTTTCTTCATTTTTTTCCTCCTCCTCGCCCGAGGAAAGATCATCTGTACTAGGATATGATACGCTATATAGAAGATTCTTTTGTCTATCTTCGGCCTCCCGTTTACGTTGCTCTTCCCTTCTAGAGATTCGCTCTTTTCTCAGTTCTTTATTACGCTGACGTATATGTTTCCATTGTTCAATCTTTGACAAGGCCTTCTTTTCGAGTTGTAGATCGTAGGAATACGCTGGACAATTCCGATAATAATTTTCATCTAAATTTAATTTGTTGGCCAACGATTGTGGCAGTTTATAGATAGCGGGAGGAGGTTTAAACTTTTCGGCTATCTTAACTGGTACACCATCCATGTAGTTGGCATTGTACATACTGTTCCGGAACAGTGTTAGTATATTCTCACATACAAACAACTTTTACTTTTTCACTTTTTTATTTTGTTTGCAACAATTAAATTAAAAATTTATAAAACTATGAGTATGACTTTTTTGTTTTTCTAATGTAAATTTTTTTGTGGAAAAAAACAGAAAAAAGTTATTCAGATAAATTAACATGTGTTGCCATACTTTTATTAAAATTAAAATGTAAAAGAATACAAACATCGAATAGGTCATTCTTGTAAATTTTGTTCTTTTATGAAAAATGTCGGAATAAAACAATTGGTCATTGAAAATTTAAAAACTATGATTTTCAGTAAAAATTTAAATCTTTATATAAAATCGATTTGTTTTGTAAATAATTAAATTTTCTCTTAAAAAATCAATATTTTCAATACAAATTTTATGCTCTTTACTTTATTGTATTGTAAACAAATCTTATTTCAGTGAAAGTTATGATTTGTATTAGAATTTTTGAAATTATATTTCTAGTTAACATTATCTCAAATCCGATTTTTAGCTAAAAATTATATTTTCTAATAAAAAAAATTAGATTTTAATTAGCATTTTAATAAATAAATAAATTTTAACAAAGTCTAAAAGCAGAAATTAAAAAGTTGAAAAGCAATAAATTTATTTAAAAAAACCTAAATATTCTTAAAATACATTTAACTTAATGATTGTGTCAAATTAGAGTTGATACTTTTGTCAGTGTATATACTCTTGTGAATAATAAAATAAAGTCTGGTATCATTGGAAAACATTCATATTTGACAGTATTTTGTTTTGTTTGGATACTTTTATTATTTTATTTTTTTGTGTTCTTCATATCTTCTTCGATGGATATAGATTAAAAAAAGAGCAATTAAATAGCACAAATTATGGCAAATCCCAATAATGATATGAACAATAAATTGGAAGAAGCATTATTCCTAAATCGTAAAATGCAGACACAGCTGCTGAACATGCGAGAAAAGCTGGAGAAGCTTTTGTCAAATGTTAAAGACCACTATAAGATTAATGATCTTATACTCAAAGAGGGTATTGTGCGGAGGCGACAGAAAGGAATAGGTATAAAAGGAGCCTATTTAAAGGGAGGAACATTCTATTTGAAAGGCAATATGTTTTTCAAAGATATAAATTGTCGTAATTGTCCAAATAATCCAGATTATGAAAGAAGAAAGTTGGAGAATGAAATGTTTCCAATGGATCTAAACCTAAAGTCGAGACATGTTTGGTCTACTACAGATAAACAAGGAGTTATTCTTGGCATTAAGGAGCAAGTAAGTAAGAAAAGTGCAATTGTTATTTTTATCTAGCTTTTCTAAAATTAGAAATTTTTCGAAATATTGACAAAAATACCAGAAGCTCAACAATTTTTTTATTAAAGCTAACATAGTTGTCATCTTGACTTGTTTCCATAATATAATTGTCTGTAGTAAATAAACATTTCTTGGACATATTTTTAGATAATCGATTATTTGACTAAGTCTCCGAAAAGGCGTGGAGAGGAAAATAAAGAACTAGATAGCGAGAAGTTGGCCAAACTTCTGAATATGGTTCCTAAGGATTTCTGCATTGACTGGGATCATTTATCAAGTCATACCTTGCAACATCGCCATTCAGCCAAAACATGTGAAGCAATTTGGAATTTATTTTTACATCCATCGTTAAAGCGTACTGCATGGACGGAAAAAGAAAACCAAAAACTTTTGGAAGCGGCCAAAAAATATAATTTTCAAAATTGGCAGGCTATAGCAAATGAAGTGGGTCATAGATCAGATTTTCAGGTACATATATAAATTTATCTTTAATACCTACATACGTACGAACTTATTAGTTACTTATTATTTTTTAGTGTTTTGTTCAATACAAAAACTACGTCTGGCAAATGTCGCCTGATTTTTCCACAAAATGGTCTAAGGAAGATGACAAACTTCTACTTGAGGTTATAGCTAAAAATAATGTAAATGGTATTATCAATTGGAGCATTGTTAATGCATACTTTCCACATAAAGCTAAAAACACATTGCATTCTCGTTATAACCACACACTTAATCCCGAAATACGAGTCGGTGGTATGTATAAATATGTATCTACATACATACCTAATTCTAAACCAATAAACCATTTTTTCTTTTTTATTATAATAGTGCCATTTACACCAGAGGAAGACCTCCTCTTAATTGCGGCTGTTAAGGAATATGGGAAGAAATTTAACTGCATACCTCGTACTTTATTTCCAAATCGATCGCTGATACAATTACGTACACATTACAATAATGTTCTGTGTAAACGTCATAACCACCATCCATGGTCTTTAGAGGATGATATCAAATTAATGGAATTTGTAACAGCAAATGGTACTAAATCCTGGATGGAATGTGAAAAATCTTTTGATGGAAAACATTCTCGCATAAGTTGTCGTACACGTTTTTTAACTATAAGAAGGTATTTGGAGAAGAATCCAGATGCCAGTATTGAAGATATTCCCCGAAAAAAGGTGACATCAAAACACGCAATAAATATTGAAAATTGGAAAGAAAAAGTTGAGGAGTTGGCAACTCCAGAAGGATTAAAATTAAACAAAGGTAAACAGAAAACTACAAGAATCGAAAGACCCATAAAACTGAAACCAGAGAAAATTAAAAGATCTAAAAAGGAAAGACCCAAACAAGAAACAAACCCAACCAATGAGGAAATACTAACGAATGAAGACATAACACTACAACCAGTTGAAGTAATGATACAACCAATTTCTGAAGGCTTGGAAACAAAGGCAGATAATACACATTCGTTTAATAATGAATTGAAAATAAAAACTAAAAAGTCCGAAATAACAGAGAAAAATAAACCCATAGAAAAACCCACTTTAAAAACGAATGGCATAGAAAATTATAATTTCTTTAAATACGCCTATAATTTTAAAATGAATAAACATCCCTGCGATACTGTACAATTAAATAACGAGGATATGGCCATAACAATGTCTGCTCTGGATCCCTTAATACCCTTGCCAATAGAAAATTATAGCTTTGATTCCAATATACCTGAGCATGTTAAGCTAAATATTGCAAATCTAACACCACATCCGTCGTTCCATGAAAACCTTCAACGTTTGCCTCCTAGCTGGTCTACAACTATGGGGTTTCGTGCCTTATGCATACACACAGCTGGCATTTCAACTAGTTTACCAGCTGAGCATGTTGTAGATGATACAAATGATTTCATTACGAAATTTCGCGAACGTTTGCGTACAGTTTTCTATTCAACAGCTTTGCTAAGCCGTTTAAACCCTGGCATGGTGGGTATAAATACAGCTGAAACTCAAACGAAAGCAGTTAAACGCAAACGTTCTTATGCGAAAAAGGACAATGAAAAAACTACAAATAAAAAAATTAAATGTATTGAAGCTATTGAAAATATTAAAACCGAATTAGAAACGTAAATTAAAGTCATTTGAAAATGAATTTAAAATTTATTTAATCTTTTATCAAATAAGAGGTACTTTTAGTTTTTTTAACTGTACCTAAAAAAATTAATTATTTATTTCCCAGAAAATAAAAGTCTCTTAGTTGGTTAATGACAAAATCTTTTTATATTTTTATAAGTAGATTATTTAACATGTAACAGTTGTTATAATAGATACGCGATACACTTCATACATAATTGATTTCTTTAAAAGTTTACTAAAAACTGAATACAATAAGATTTCAGTATTTAGTTGTAGTTGCAAATTAAAACAAATAAAAAATATATAATAAATAGCCGTTTTACATAGTTCTTATTGTAAGCAAAAACAACAAGACGATTATATGTATATAAATACACTATGTAGTATTTATTTATATTTTATGTATATAGAGATGTGTATTTATGTAATTATTATATTATATTATTCTATACTTATTGTTAGTTTTAGTAAATTATGTATGTATTTAAACAATGCTAATTAAAATTTTTTATCAAAACCTCGCCATGCAAAGTTTGAAATTTTTTTTGAAAATTTATTGGAAATTACTAAAATCAGTTTTCAGTTTTATAGTGGGTTTCTGTTGTTTATCGAGACCACTGCGAGACTGGGCCGTTTGCACACGATTAGCTATAGCGACCGATTGTTGCTGACAACGCACTGCCGCTTCCAATTTCTGACGTAATTCTGGAGATTGACCCATCAAAGACTTGAATTCCTGTGGATATTTAGGACCGATTTTCATAAGCCATTGTAATGCCTGTTCGTGTAATTGACGCTGATATTTAGGTAGATTACGCAATTTCGAAGGATCGGCCAAATAGTTTATTAGCACTGGTACCAGTAGTGTTAACATTTGTATGCCTATATAAGAATAAGCAGGCGAGTAGAAATTATGGAACGAATTAATAAATGGAAAGTATTAAAGAAATTAATTAGTATAATCGATTACTATAATTAAAGCTAAAACAATTAAGGGTTAAATCTAGTGGAAATTACTTAACATTTTTATACTAAAATATAAATTACTACAATAAATACGAAACAACAAAGATGATTTTAAGTACAATGTATAAGAGAGTATGAATGGTAGTTTGATTGAATGGTATGATGATGCTGTAGATAAGTAATACTTTCTTTTTAAATTTAAATTACCTTGCATAAGATTTCCTATACATTATTATATTATGTTATATGTTTAATTACATATTATGTTTTGGACGGACATATATAATTGATGATTGTTAGAGGGATAGTTAGTTTTCGTGATTATATCGTAATGCATTAGAAGATAAAATAAAGATAGATAAATAAATAAGAAAAACGTTACAAATGAATTGATATATATTAATTTCATTGTAGTAGTATAAAACTAAATTATAAAATAAAGAAATGCTTAAGAATTTATCGCTCAAATTATCTTAATTTTTTATCTAAAAATTAAACAAATAAAACCCACCTTAAAACCCACACACAATTTAACAAATTTCCAAATAATAATGATAAATTCTAAAACATTTCGTTTTACTATTATTTAGGTATAAATATTATCGGAAAAAAACTTTAAAGGGGATTGGTGCATTTCTTTCTGTTTGTATATAAGGACAAGTCAAATAAAACTTTATAAATAAAAAAAGAATTTTTCTTTTACTTACGATTTTGTGGTTCAGCTAATTCAATTAGAGCTTCTACAGTCACAATGCTTTCCAAAACAATTTGCAATTCTAAATCGGTGCGCGGCTGCTTAGCGCTTTCCATATATAGACCCTCAATAATACGCGGTGCCAATGCATGTATATAAGGTGTCGATACCTTTAATTCCGATTGTGAAAATATCAAACGAGCCGTTTGTATACACTTGAGTTTGACGGACATATTGTCGGATTGCAAATATTGACGGAAGTGATTTATACAGGGATATTGTAAGGATGGTGTTGACACTACTGTGGGAGGAGTGTGTAGTATAAAGACAGCTATAGCTCTCAGCATAGTTACTTCATCCATTTTCCTCTCCTCATTGTTGCCTGCCGTTTTCGTTAGATCCACTATAGTAGCCAAAGAGCTTTGTAGCAGCTCTTGCCATTCGCTAGCTACCGAAGGATGTTTAGACCATTTATCTTTGCATATAGATTCAAGAGCATGTAAAGCTGCTTGTATGGCCACCGTATTGGCCAAAATAGTCGAGTCAATGAAGGATTTATTAGCTATTTCCTTTATAATGGAAGTTGTCATATATAGAATGGTAGGTAAAATAGCCAATGCGCCTTTGGGGGAACACAGAGTAGTTAATTCCTCTACGCATTCCAAAGCACTGGCCACTAATCTGCCATTATCCTCTGCTAGCTTATTAAAGAATGATTGCGAAGATAAAGCCGTTTTGGCTATCAAATCTTGACGGAATTGTACGGTATTAGCAGCCCCGGGATTCATGGTGGGAATTTGACGTACAAATAAACATAAACACACCTCCAATATGGCGTAAATATGCGATGAGCCTGGAGTTATTTCTCCTGAATCACCACCCTCACCCATTTGATCGATTTGCTCTTGCAATGAAATATTATCAGCATTTTCTATATTTTTATTTTTCTCCAAATACTCATCACGTAATTCTGTAAGTTGTTCTTTGGAAGCTTGAACAGATTGTTTAAGTATTTCTATGCACAGTAGCTGAACAAACAAGTCATCACTGGTCAATATTTGTCGATGCAAAACATTGCACAACTCAATTGTTAAGACCTTATCTTTAACCAACTGTTGACGCGCCCACTTTGAGTCGAAAATCGTGTACATAGACTGTAAACAACTTATCACATTTTTGGGTTTTTCTGATGTTCTGGCGCTACACAAGGCTTCCATACACAGACCAAAAATCATATGGAAACGATCAGCCGATAGTGAGCCATGTGAAATATTGTTATTAGCTTCCAAAGAGGTATTATCCAGATTATTTGCTTCAGCATCTGTTTGACTTGAAGATTCCAGATGTAATTGGAAGCCCTCATCCTTGAGCCACAAAGAAGCAGCATATAAAATGGGAGGCCATGAAGCTAAATAATGTGGTTTTGAAGAGTTAATAGTGTCGGGAGTATAGAAAGCGCCCCCATCGTGCGGCAATTGACTTTGGAATTCGGCTGGCAATAACAGTAAAGCATGATCCTTCATAGCTGCTAACCAGTGAGTGGAGAGGTTATCTAATTCCGGCTTAACCAATGACAAAAGACTTTCGCAATTTCTATCATTGCCATAGTCAGCTCCAGTTGTTTCGTCGTCATCCATTTCCATTGCCGCAGTAAGTGATGGTATCAAATTAGAGGCGGTCAGTTGTTTTCTTAACAATGAAGCCGGTGCAGTATTGTTAGTTATCATGGCAACAATATAAACTTCAGCCCAAGCCTTTAATATACTCAGCTTCTCTAGAGTGGTCATAGATTCGTTGAATAATTGGGTGCTATTTGTTTTCGTATGTAGTTTGTTTAAAGACGATACTAATAACTGATGCACACGACGTAAATCATTTAGATCACGAGCCACACCGGAACCAATCCAAGCTGAACAAACTTCACAGGCAGCAGCCGTAACATGTGAAGGAGTATCTGGAGCAAAAGCTGGCCTTAAAGCAGCGCCCACCTTTATTTGAAAGTATTATTATATTAGCTTGTTTAGATAAAGTCTTAATTGTTTATAGCCTACCTGAGCCTGAAATTGTTCCAATAACAAATGTCCTGGAAATTCGGGTTCTGGCACATTTGCGAAGCGATCGATTATTTCTTGTAAAGTTCTTAAGCCTTCTAAACGTAGCTGATCTGAGTCCGAAGTAGCAGCAATAAATGACATACGTATAAGCTCTGAGAGATGGAGTATGAGATAGTCGCCACTAGACTTAGTCATTTGCATTTCTTTGGCCTGCAGCAAGTCGAAATGTATGGGAGTGTCGGATTCACAAGCCGACATAATTTTTCTTACAGATTGGGCGGCAAATACACGGGTTGTCCAGCGCGGTTGAATGGCTGGATGGGTGGAAGAGTTCTCTGTGGCATGATATTCGGTAACATCATCAGCATCATCTTCTTCATCATCATCATCCTCATCATTATTGGCCAAATTATGGGATGCTGTTGCGCTTGCCGCCGAGCCCGTCTTCGCAGCATCGCTTTTGGAGGTTAAAGCAACATCATCTGGTAGAGGAGAATTTTCTACGGCAACCGTTAAAACATTTTTGCATAGACTCAACCAGGTGCTTAAGCTTTCTGCAGCCATCAACTGCAGCATGGACATTAAAGTGTCATGTATATTTTTAAGCATTTCTATGTCAGTTTCAGAATCCAACATGGCAAATAGAATGCCAGGAAGACCAAATTCAGTAACAACTAGTTTGGGACAGTCATCGGGTTTAATCGATAATGCTAGATCGCAAACCTCTTTAGCTTCACGGTGAGCCAGTTGACGAAGACATGAAACAGCTGCTTTTCGTTGCGTCAAATAATTGCTAGATAAATTCTTAACAAGTGTGGGTACTAAAGTGGGTAGACTAATGCTACCTGGAGCAAATAAATGTACTTGTTGTAAACAACCAGTAGCTTCAGCTTGTACCAAGGGATCTGAATGTCCCTGCATAATGTAAGCTGCACAAATAAACGATCTGCGCATTTTTGCAACGCCACCAACATTTCCCTAATTTATAAAGAACATAAAAATTAAAATTTACTATAAGAATTTCATGTAGAGTTGCTACATACTTGAAGCTCAGGACCCATTGTTGTAATTAAAGCATTCAAAACGCGACCAATACACTGATGGACATCCACATATGATTGTGGAACATTTAATAAAAGTTTTAAACACAATGTCAAAGTAGCCTCGACATAACTGCGGAACATAGGTCCTCCGGAATCAGCAATTAAAGCCAAAGCATGTAAGGCCCACAGCTGTACAACAGGCGAAGAAATGTCTTGTGCCAAAGCCAATAGTATGGAAACACTAGTATTTAAATGCTGAGACGAGCCCATACCACCAACATAGCGATGTAAACAGCCCAACGATAAAGAGTGTCCAGTACGTGTTACCACATCTCGAGCAGACTTTAATTTATCAAACGAATTTTGAGCCAATTCAGCAGTAAACCTCGATTCACCCACAACTTGAGCTAAACGACCCAATGCCTCAGCCGAAGCACATCTCAGCATAGAATTCGAGCTAGTTAGACCAGTAGTCACTAGATTGGTAAAACTTTTGCGTACATCTTCTTGGCCAATACCAGCCTTATTATCCGTTAGCACCTTCAAGCCACAAAGCAAAGCTGTATACACATTCATTTGCACTGCTTCTTGGCGACTGCTCTTGGCCTGTCTTATACATTCACCAAAATGGTCTAACATTTGTAAACGATGTTTATTGGCCACTTTGGGGAATATAACACCAAACAATGTTATTGACATATCTATGATGGCCACACCAAGTGGTAAAGGTCCAGGACATTGATCGGCCTTATAACCGTAGGCTCCATTAACAGTGGCATTCGATGAATTTCCCGAAATTCTGTATAAACAACAGGGATCATGTTCTAAAGCACCTGAGCCGGCGGCACTATTTGGTTGAAGCTGTTTTGGAAATAGTTTAAAGTTTTTTTTATTAAAAATATAAATTAATACAGATATTCACGTCATTATTTGAAAAATCTGATGTGAATAATTACTTTCAAAAAGGTCTTTCATTAAGAGCAAAGCATTTAGTTTTTTTTTTTTTTCTATAAAAAACCTTATGCGTAACTTATAGAAATACCAAAAACAAAATGAGTCGCTCTTAACGAAAGTACCGATATGTTAATATTAAAAATAAATTTTAAAACAAAAATTGGTATTTATCGGTTTAGATAATAAACTTTTCTAAAGCCTTTCTTAAATACCTTATTAACAAAAAAGATTATGATATTAAAAGAAAATAACAAAAACTCTATATACAAAACAATCACTATATAAACAGAACAAAAATTAATGGCAAAAAGCAAAAAACAACAACGAACAACTGTTCATTAAAGCATTATAACACTTACGTGATCACCATCCCATCTACGATTTGGTTCCATCTTATTATACATAATTTTAAACAATTGTTCGAACAAATAAAGGATAAAATTTATATTAGGATTTTAATAAATAAGTGCAAAATATTTAGGTCATTTATAAAAAAATACTAATTCCCTTTGCCTCTAACATTATTATACACATTTTCCTGGATCCTATACTTAGTAATAAAACTTATATAATTAAATACTTCTTATGGTTTTTATATACCTGATCTTCTATAATGCGATGATCGGTTTCTTGCAACCAGGTTCCCAATATAACAGAGTCATCAGCATGGCAAAGGCTTCGAAGCAAAGAGTTTGTGGTGTTTGCTGGATTTTCAGCCAAAGTAAATTCAGATATAAGCATACGCAAGAGATGAGTATAAGAAGCTTCTAAAGCATTAGATGGTAGTTGAGATAGAGTTTCATAAAGACGTAGGCGTACCATGGCGGCGGGTGCTTTTAATTGTGTACCATAGCTTTTCAAAACAGAAGATAAGCTAAGAGAAATTAAAAAAACATTAAAAACATATTCAAAACCGAAACAATTAGATTTACAAAAAATTAATTTCGTCAACTTACTTTACCAACATAGCCAAAGCACTTTCAATAGGTGTTAAAAGACGTTTTGTAATATCTTCCGTTACAAGTTCGGGACAGTTTACCAAAAAACTTTGCATTACCGATAAAGCCCCAGCACGTCCCTCAAGCGTAACCTGCCAGGTAAATGAATCTCCACGAGCTTTTTCCGATTCCAATTCTTTGTTGGAGCGAGGGAAGGAATGACGCCATAATAGCAGTAATCTTGGTAACAAACCCTTTACTACCGGTGAACCCAGAGTCATTATCGATCCAATCAGCAGCCAACCGGCTTGGGTACGATTTAACGACATGCGACTGTTTTGAGAAGCTGAACGTAGTAATTCTTCTGCTGCATTGAATACAACTTTACCTTTGGTATGTGGTATACCTAAAGGAGAGTAACGTACACTTCCCAAAATAGCCGCTAAAGCGCAACTGTAACCCGATACGGCTTCCGGAGATGAGCGCATTTGCTCTAGAGCCTCAACAAAACGATCGATTAGAGGCGTTATTAGGCTTGGCACAGCCACACAAAAGCAGCGTAAACACCATGCAGCGGCCAATCTTGCTGCTGCACTTGGATGTACCAATACAGCGCAAGTGGTATCTATAGCATTCAGTGTTTGGTCAGCCAAAAGATTTTGAGCTGTTGTACCTAAACCCAATACTAAAGAGCCCAATTCCTGTAGTGCACATACTAAAAAGTGTTGACTGAAAAGAGTTTCTTGATTCGAATCCTTGGCATTTTCCGGATTAAAATCTATTGAATTCATTTGCTTGGCAATCATATAGACCAGTTCCTTACAGGCTGAGGTTTGGGCCTTTTCACCCAGCATTTTGCCCAGCACGGATCTAAGTATAAAATTTATACACTTGCGAGAATAGACGGCATCAACATGTGATGAGGCCGCTTTGGGATTGGCCACTAGATCCAATACATGAGAAAGGAAGGTAGACAGATTACGCTCTAACCATACACTGCCCATGTAATCCACAAACACCACATAAGCGTGTGTTACACCTACACGGATCTCGCGATTTACACTAGAACTGCCTTTAATGATTTCTCCAGTACCTTTGAGAAATGAACCGCCACCTCGTAGAAAACCTGACATAAGTATGCTCAGGGTTTCGTCTAAAGAAACCTGTCTAGCGGTAGATTTTGATTGTGTTGGCTGCACCGACAACTTCTTATTGTTTGCCTCATTCTGTTGTTGTTGGGTAAACGCCAATAAAGTGCCTAGTAATTTTGCCACGGAACAACGCACTTCATAGCTACTGCCATCAAAAGCACGAAAACACAAAGCCGGCAAACTTTCTAGTTCAGTTTGATAAAGAAATGGAGCATGTTGTATCATTTCTAGAATACATTTAGCAGCTGCTACTCTTACGGCCATAACACGATCAGTTAAGCCATGTTTAGTGGCCTTGTAAATATCTTTGTGGACATTAGCTATAGCTGTACCCATGCCAGCACAAACCTTTTCCAAAGTAATCATAATTTCAATGCGAGCCTGGGATTCGGCATTACGCAAAGTTCTTAAAAGCAAATTCACAGTCTCCTCATAGGAACGGCCCATCATACGTCCCAGTTTTTCATACATAGAACCCAGAACGCAAATAGCAGCCCTAAAACAATAATAAACCATGAGAAAAGGTCTTATTTTATCTTACAAGAGACACTTACAACTTGGTCGGCAAATAACTGGGTGAATCATCTTTATTTTTCAAAATATCATTACACACATTGGCCGTGTCAAATAACATGAAAGTATCGCCCACCGAAAACAATGTGGCCAAACAACTGGCCAATAATTTTCGTGTTGGCGGTCCGGGAGAGCCATTTATTTGTGCTGTCAACTGCTGCACTAGTTTCTTTTGATGATTCTTTATCTCATTGCGATCGATAACAAGTAAGGTCTTCTCCAAATAACCCAACCATTCGAATATGAAAACAGAACGTTTTGGCTCGGGTAACTGCTTAAGGGCATCTTCATTTAAAGTTAAACTATATGCCAGCTCCATACTATCATCGAAATGTGTTATTTCAGCGGCGGCACTGTTGTTTTTTTGATCTGAGTCTGAGCGTATAAATGATCTAAAAAATTGGTTTTTGTTCGTTTTTTATTCATTTTAATTATGTATATTCTTTATAAACAAAGAAGTGTAGTATGGCAGAAAAGTAAATGACGTGATGCGAAAAATATGACGAAAATTATAAAATGATGTTATTAAAATTGAACAGAGTGGACTCATCTTTAGAGTGTTTAAATAAAAATGATGCAGAAAATTCTTGTAAATAATGTCGATTTATATTAAACAAAATCAAAAGGAGAATAAAATTTTGGTCGAATATGTATTTTAATAACCATATAACTTAACAAACTTATTAATTAACTGCAGTAGTTTAAAATAAAAAAATATTGATTTTTAAAGTTTTATTTTCATAAATTTTTAAATACTTTCAACATAGTTTCAGAATACATGCTTTTTTAGAATCTCAAAAATATAATTTTTATTTTATTAATTGCGAATTTTTCATCATATCCAATTTAATTAAGTTACTTAAGTCACAATGTTAATTTTTCATTAAAAAAATGATAATAATGTATTCTTTTAATTAAGAATAACTTAAGTATCTTTTTTTCTCGATGAATGACAACATTTTGAAAACACAACAGCAGCAAGTTAATTGTGTTATTTTGCAAAAATTCTAAAGAACTCATCTTAATAATAAAAAGCACTTAAATTAATCTTAAATGTATGTGCAGGGCATACAAACAACGCCATTGACACCCTTTTTATGTTTATATAATGAAAAATCTGAAAATCCAATAATTGTTGTAGATGTGTTTTTTGTTATTTTCTTGTGAATCAACCAGAACACCTACAGACTGTACTGGTTTAGTGAAAGCTGCTTAATTCTGTATGAAATAAAGAAAGTGCAACAACATTCTTTTTATTATTTCTGAGTCCCAAATTTGCAGGAATAAAAAATAAAATTCCATAATAAAAAAAAACACACGCATAAAGCAAATAAACACAAAGAAGAGAGATTCAAGCATTAAGAACGGAATGGCATATGCAGTTTTAAAGATACAAAAGAAAAAAAAACGTAAGGCTTTTTTAATGAATTTCCATTTGTAAATATTAATGATGAGTATGCCGTTAGGATAATTAACATGCTATCATTATCATAATCATCATAATTATATTCACCTCCTGGCCTCACCAATTGCTTTACGCAAAAAGTGTGGGGTAGTGGTTAAAATGTATGTTTCCAAATTTTCCATTATCGCAGTACTTGTAGTGTGTGATGTGTATATTGCAATAGTTCAAGGTTGCAAGTAGATATATTATTTTTTTTTTATTTTTTGTTCTTACGTACGTTATATATTTTTTTATTAGTTTGTTTAAGAAACAATAAAGAATAAATCAATAATTTATATTGTAAAATTAATAAAGTTTATTTTCATTCATTGGAATTATTCATTTTAATTAAAGAGAAATGTGTTGTTGTGTATAAACAAACATAAATGATTTTATATTTGAAATAAATCATTAAAAATGCGTTAATCTTATATATACACTACTCTACACATTATATACTACACTGGTAAATTTCTTTTTTTATTTCTTTCATCTTTTTAAGAATTTATTCAAATATTAGATGCGGTATTTACTCGCGCACCGACACTTTAAAACTAAAGAATGAATATTTTGCACTACTAATAGTACAAGCAGAAGAAAAACCGACAACTTAAGAATATATATTTACACAAAGACGCAAGGCAATTCTCTTTTTGTATTTTCGCAACATAGAAATAAGAGAAGAAAATAGACCTTTAAATAAAAGAGAAATAGTCGAAAAAACACACATGTATAAATAGAATTTTTTGTTAAGAACTAACACTCTCAGTTCATATTTGTTAATTATTAGTAAATTGTTACAATATGATTTCAAGAACAAAGATATGTTTGTTTTATGTTGTGTTAAAGCATTTATTGTGTGAATAAATTAAAGGATTTGTTATATGTATTTAACTAGCATGGTTTTGTCACATAATCAAATTTTTATAAAATTTTCCATTGGGTTTAAAAAAAATGTTTTTGTTTTTAAAGATTACTCAATTTTAATGTTTATTATATTTATGCATAAAACTAATGAATATGTTTTTGGGTCATAAATTCATAAATCAATTTCTTTTTTTTTTCAATCAAATTTTGAGAAACAAATTGAGTTCAAATTCTATATAATTTCAGGCTGATACAGAGGAAAACTAGAAATTTATACAAGGGCTTTAATATTACAAATAATTTCGTTGATTTTGAAACTACCAAACATCTAACTGACCTATTATGAGAAATTAACAATCACTAATTGTAGAACAAAGGCAATAAAGTTAGAAAAATTATTTATTTCATTTCATTTGTTTTCAAAACACCATCATTACAAGATAAAATAAATTTCATTACAACATAATTTTCATTCACAACAAATTATATATCATTTTCAGGGTAAAAAGGGCATAGCAGGAATATAACGCAGCGCTTGTACGGTAGCACTATTGGGATTTCCCAAATCTTTAACAATGCCTTGGATACGAGATACAACATCACTACGTTGAATGTCACCGCGTTCCAGCATACGTTTGAAAAGTGTATAGAGTTGACGTTGCGAAGACATATGCGATAATTCATTGAGATCCTTTAAGAGTTCATTTGAATATCCCTCATATTTACTTAGATTCGAAGATTTAGCATCACGTTTTAAAAGATCATAGACTAATAAAAATTCTACATAAGGTTTGGTGGGAGGAACACGTTTTTTACCCGCAGTCGAGGTAGTAGACCAACGATCCATAGCGGAATCGGCATCTAAAGTGGCACGTCCATAGTTGTCATCATATAAACGCAAGAAATTATCCAGAGATTCGACATCGTTATTAAAATCATCATGATTTATTTCAGTTATTATGTCTCGTATTAATGATAGTGGCAAATTATTAAATCCTTCGGGTGTACTGCCCAATTCATAGAATATGTCATAACCTTCTGCTGGTCCTTTTAATAGATTGCTTAAATCTGGTGCATATAAAGCCGGCTTATGAGGTGGTGTTGGTTTCTGGCCAGGTTTCTCTGTTGTAGTTGTAGGTTGACCCCACCAGGCAGGGGGATGCCACCAACTGGATGTTGTAGATGTGATAGGACGTCGAGTTGTTGTGGTTGAGGTGGGACCACTGCTGCCATACTTGTTAGTTGTTTCCTCGGTGTTATCACTAAAGGGTGGCTCCACAGTTGTTGATGACAAAGGCTCATATTGCAGATGATCGATATAGTAGGCTAAAGCCTGCATGGAGGCCGGCAAATAACTATTAAGTAAATTGGCTCCAGACACCTGTTGCCCGCTTAGCACAAATACAATAGTTATACAAAAAGTCCCATAAAACGTTGCCAGAAAATTCATTTTAATTTTCGTTTTCTGTTTTGTTTTTTTTTTTACTTTATTCAACAATTCAATTAGTTACGCATTAAATTCAATAATAGTATACGTATGATAATATCATACTAAACCGATAAAGAAAAAACTTTTAAACCGTACGTTTGACTTTAAAACACTTATTCTCTTCAGAACCAAACTTATACTGAAAACGAGCACTTTGTTTTAGCTTGGTCAAGACTCATCTCCAAAAAGAATGGAGAAAAGAACAGACTTGTTTTAGTTTGGTTTGTGTTTAAACTTTTAAATTATGTTTCAATAAATAAATCAAAAAAGAAAAAAGAAAATTAAGCGATTATAATCGTAAACTGCATTAGGGTTTTGGGACTTAAAACACGCTACTGTGGGTATTAAAGTTAGTTAATTAAACATTGTTTAGCTTTAAGTTTTAACATGAAATGACACATTATAAAGTTACTTCTAATGTTATTGTTTTATTTCTCCAAATTAACAGCCAACAAAACTTTAATGTATGTAATTATTTTGTTATTTTACTTTATTACTTCTCTCTGTCCCAATGCCTCATGCAGATACTTAAAGCACTTTTGCTTTTTATTAGATTTAATTGAGGTAACAGTAGATAATAAAAAAATGCTGTTACCACAAACCGACGTCTATTAAGCACATTTCATTTAATAAAACAAGAATAGTAGCGTTTAATATTGTCGTCATGTTTCTCATCCGGAAGATGAAAGAAAGGTGAATACACTTTTATAGTTGTTTTATTTACATTTTCGTTTGTGTGTAAGCGTAAACCCAAAAAAATGAAAAAGAACTGTCTGTACGTACTGACCAACTATAAAATACACTTAACACAAAATGTATTCGTACGACTAGTTTCTTAAGTTATTAAATTAATAAATTGTTATTTTTAAATATTCTTAACATATATTTCACCTACACAACTTTACATAAAAACGAGAAACTTTTACAATTCTAAAGCTCATGCTTTTCCTTTTGAAATGAGATATGACTGAATTAGAACTCAACTAGAATTAAACTACAACTGAACTAGAACTAAACCAGAACTGATCTAGAAATGAGCTAGAACTAAACTAGTACCGAACTAGAACTGAACTAGAACTAAACTAGAACTAAACCAGAAACAGTTTATAAATTAGATTTTGTATGGAAATTTTGTTTTATAAACTGAACTGGAACTGAACTAGAACTGAACTAGAACTGAACTAGAACTAGATCTGAACTAGAACTGCCCCCTTATTCACAAACAAAATTTTTATTTTATAAACAGTTTATAAATTAGATTTTGTATGGAAATTTTGTTTTATAAACCTTTTATAAAATAAAAAAAAATGTTGTTTGTGAATAAGGGGGATGATCTAGAATTGAACTGGAACTGAACTAGAACTTAACCATAGTTTATCTAGAACTGAACAAGAAATGAACTAGAACTGAACTATAACTGAACTGGAACTGATGTAGAACTACATTAGAACTGAACTAAAACTGAACTAGAACTGAACTGGAACTGAACTAGAACTGAACTAGAACTGAACTAGAACTGAACTAGAACTGAACTAGAACTGAACTAGAACTGAACTAGAACTGAACTATAACTGAACTAGAACTAAACTGGAATTGAACTAGAACAGAACCAGAACTGAACTAGAACGGAAATAAAAATGAACTAGAACTGAACCAGAACTGAAATAAAACTACATACCTAGCATATGAATTAAAAACTTCACACCTATTTTTCTGTCCACAAGTGTTTATGCATCTATGGGTTTGGTTATTATGTACTAACATTGAAGCTTTGGAATTCCACAAATAGGTATATACGATTACTTTTCTATTTAAGTGTATTCTGAATAAATATAAAATAAAAAAAATTAATAAAAGATAAACGAACAACTTTTTCGTTTTTTGTAAACCTGATTTATTTTTTTAAGAAAGAGAGGCCAATTTCAAGATCCGAATTTAAGTAAAATAAGAACAAAAAGAAATGGTAAAAATATTGAAATTATAATAAGACCAAAACAAAACAGAAATAAACAAACTAAAGCAACGAAAAATGTAAATAATATTTAATCATATACTTCCTAAGTGTATAAATAAATTCCAAATCACACAACTATTAAATAGCAAATGTTTTCTGTTTTTTATTAACAATTATAAATAGAACGAACATCTAAGCACTTGTAAGCATCCGCTTTGGGTCATAAATTGATATCAGTCTCTAGATGTCTGGAGATCAAATATATGTCAGATGGTTTTTAATCATTGATATGTGACTCACACTGGAAATGAAAATGCATAGAATATTGCTCAATTAAAAGACAACTTACCCAATTGGATTAGATATTTCACAAAATATTTCTATAAATTGATTTCACTTAAATAGTGACTATTTGTTTTGCTTTCGTTTACAATTTTTTCGTTGTTGTTATTTTGTATTTATAAAAAAAAAACACTTTCATGCATGAAACACAAATGGATGTGGTTGGTGGTGCAGCACTAGTATACAACAATTTTTTCTTGTCTACGCCTACACTTGAGGTCAAACAAATCACTATTAACTTTATATTTTTTTAAGTTTTCTTAATTGCACTATGGAATTGATTTGGATTTTATTATTTAACACAATATTAAATGCAATTTTCTTTGGAAATTTAGGAATTATTAACAAATAATTAGCAGTACAATTGAAACGGGACAAGCAAGTAGAGACCTGCGCCGACAAACATTAAAGACGGCGGTGGCTGACACTAAACATTTCGGCGACGCCTTAAAAACGTCTGTAAGCCGGCTAACATTTTGCCTTTGTTTTTAAAATTTTCAACGATATTAGATAAAAATGGAATCAGAGTGAGAGAATATTTTTAAAATCGGGATTTTTTTAAATTGTTTATATAAAATCGGGTCTTAATAAACTTTAGTATAAAAAAAATATACTGTTGCATCGAATGTGGGTAAAATCATTGTTTATATTTTTGCCATATTTTTTAAACATATCTCAACACATAGTTTGTCAAAACATGTAAAAGGTGTTATTACGAAGATAATCTAAAAACAGTTAATTTTCTTATGGGCTTATCATATAAAACAAAGTGCTATTGAATATTCTGATATAATAATTAATACTTTTTGGTATTAATCGATTTTTAGGCTCTCTTGAAAATTTTCGGTAGATTTTAATATTAATTATTTCTTTTTGCATTAATTAATTTTCGATTTTTTTGTTATTTTTACATTTCATAACAAAATATGTTATGAAATTCGTAATATACAAAAATATGCTTTAAAAACAGCTAAATATAAAAAAATATGATCAAACAAATTCTAAACTATCGTTTTTGTTTTATCACACAAATTTTCTTCTAACTAATTTTATATTTAACATTTAAGTCTTTCTTTTTAAAAGAAAATTTTAACGAACATAGACGAATTTTTTATACTTGTAATCGATAAACTAGCACCTCTAATAAAGTACTGTATACAATTTTAAGAAATGGGCACCACTTTTTGAACAGCTGGTCAAAGTATTTCTCCAGCTGTTTATATTTACGTGGTTTCACAACATTTTTATTCTCTTTAACTTTCATTTCGACAAAATAAATAAACAACATTAATTAAAAGATGTCGTACGAATCAGAAATTAATGATATTTATAATCAAAAATTCAAACATTTGGTAGAAATTCCAAACTCTCAAAAGGTGGACATAACAAAGGACCATAAAGAAATTGATGCGTTAAGTCATCCCCCCGATAATCCAGACGACATCTGGATATTCGGTTATGGCTCTTTAATATGGAAAGTTGATTTTCCTTGCATTGATTGGCAACGTGGTTATATTTGTGGCTACTTAAGACGCTTTTACCAACATAGTATTGATCACAGGGGTGTTAAAGTAAAACCTGGACGTGTTGTTACCCTAATACCAGCAAAACCCGAAGATCGTGTTTATGGTGTGGCATATCGCGTGGCAGCCAAGGATAAGGATGTTGTTATAAAACATTTAGACTATCGCGAGAAAAATGGTTATCAACGATGTACAGTACCATTCCATATGTTTCCTGAGGATCCCAACCAAAGGAGTATAGACATTGTTATTTATATAGCAACACCCGAAAATGAGTCCTGGGCTGGCAGTGATGATGATAGTAAAATTGATAAAATTGCTGAACAAATTTTTACTTCAGCCGGACCGAGTGGCAGAAATCGAGATTATTTATTCAATTTGACTTTAGCCATGAATAGTCTATTTCCTGGAGTTCATGATCAACATCTAGTAGAATTAGAGGCTGCAGTAAGAGCTAGAATAGAAAGTGATGAAGTGAGACTCTTGGAAAAGGCTTTAAAGAGTGAACTTGCCAATTGTAAGCAACATCTACAACATCAACAACTACAGGAGACATCAAAGGAAGCCAATGGTTGTGATATAAAAAATATATCCACCTTGTGTCAAACAAAAGTGGATCATTTGGTTAGGTTTTGTATGAAAATTGGTTGGCGTGAATATTTTCTAACCAAAGAACTGTATGGTATACATTCCTTAAATTTGTGGGGCGATGAGGATCGCAGACAATCGTAATTTTATTTAAGAAGAAATAAATTGATGGAAGTTATTTAAACTCGAAATCTTTGGAGTTTTTATTTAGATGTTACTAATTACGATCAGTATTGTAGAGTTGAAGATTTCGGTGGATATGGTGATAGATAGATAGATAGATAGATAGATAGATAGATGGATAGATAGATAGATAGATAGATAGATAGATAGATAGATAGATAGATAGATAGATAGATAGATAGATAGATAGATAGATAGATAGATAGATAGATAGATAGATAGATAGATAGATAGATAGATAGATAGATAGATAGATAGATAGATAGATAGATAGATAGATAGATAGATAGATAGATAGATAGATAGATAGATAGATAGATAGATAGATAGATAGATAGAATAGATAGATAGATAGATAGATAGATAGATAGATAGATAGATAGATAGATAGATAGATAGATAGATAGATAGATAGATAGATAGATAAATAGATAGATAAATTATTTTTGCATTTTACTCTTTAGGTTAATAACATAAAAGGTGGAAACGTACTATTTGCAATTAATACATGATATTTTATTCAATA